AATTGTATAGGTCGAGTTCCTTTATGCATTTTTAATACATCAGTTAATAACTTGATAGCTAAAAACTTTGGAGCATATGAACTAAGCTTACATAATATCTAGGTTCAGATATTTAACTTATAATTCCTTGACTAAAATTACATGTGATACCACTAACACTTTGATCGTAGAACTCTCTATGTATAATATCACAAACAAAGCTTAAGTATTTAACATCCTTACCGAAATCTTGTGAAGGAGTTATGTATACTTGTACAGTACCAATACAAATATTAGTATAAATTCCTTTTTATTTATGGTTTTTAATGCTCCAGTTTATGATATTAGTTTCTGCTACATTCTTTTCACAATCTTCGATAATACTTCCTTCCATTTCTTCACATACATATTTAGTTCTAGTTTTATAGAGAGAAGTTTTAAATATTTTATCTTTAGTGTAATTTGGGGGAAATTCCAACTTTCTTTGTTCATTTGATCTAGATCTTTATCATCAATTGAGTACTCAGCTCTTTTTAGTTGAGCTATAGTCATTTTACTTTTATCCTCATCATCATCTGATTTTAAGTTCCCTAATACTTCAACTTCACTCATATTATTTATTTCTTCGTAATTTTCATCTTTAAATTCACTGTCTTTAGGTTCTTCGTTATACTCACTTTCTTTCTCTTTTATTTCTATTATTCTTTTATTATTACTTAAAGCTAATTCTAAAGTCTCACCTTCTGGTATTTCTAGGTAATCCTAACTACCCAAGGCTTCCATGAGTTTATGATTAGGTTTCTTACATTCGTTAGGATAGTGTCCTAATTCTCCACAATACCAACACTTGCATATTTTCTTTTTCTCAGGACAATATATTGCCTTTTTGAAAAACCTAATGGGTTTTCTATGTTAATGTTTATAATACCTGTTCTTATAGGTTTCTCCTCTTGGTCTATTAAATTTATTTTTCTTAGTTTTTCCTCTTGTTATAATTTTTTCTTTCACATTTATAATTATTTGAGAAATCCCAATAAGTGAGAAATTGTCTCTTTATTTGTGGAGTTCCTATAACATCTCTACATTTCTTTTCAATCCATTTTCTTAGGAAATCAATTATGTTTTCTAGGGCGTCCCTAACTTAGGAATTTATCTCTCCATTCTTGATATTTTTTGCTTATTTCTTTATTAAGAAGCTTGGTAATTTATCATAGAACATTCCAAGGTTTGTCTCATTTTCACTATATTTATAATAATATGTTTTAAATTCCATGATATAGCTCTCGACATATTTCATATAAAAAATGAACAAATTACTTAACTTTCTTTGATATTCCATTCATTTTTCATTAGGATCGGCTTTAGGATCAATGAATTCTAACTTAATGTAATGACATAACTGCCTAAACATTATAATAGGAGATTCACTGCCTCTTAATGTAGTTTTGACCTATTCATCTATACCATCATACCAATCTACATAGCCATAAAAGCTATACTCGATATAATTTATGAAATTTTCAGAAGTCCATTCAGTATTTAAATTGAGCACACTACTCATGCTCTTTTTCCACTAATCTAAAACATCTTGTTATCTCTTACATCATCTAGTTTAAGCTTATAACCATTTTGGCTTATGGGTTGAAAATAAAGCTACTTCTTCTTGTTTAGGTATCTGATTAGGCATAACCTTAACACTAAACCAGGTAGTCTTCCCTGGTACGTATCTTGGTCTTATATAACTTTTTTCTCCTTAATACCTAGATCTTTGGATATCATTGTTTACATTATTATTTTCTTTAATAATTTCTTCCTCAACATCATTATTATCCATTATTCATTTACCTAGTTTATTGTCAATCTTTTGTTGAACAACTTCAATAGGTAGTAAGTCTAGATAATCTAACTTCATAAATCCCATTTAATTTGTTGATATAAATCTTCTTATAAAGAGACATAATTATTTCTTCTATTTCATTATCAAATCCCCTTTTCAGAAATTACTTTCATGATTTGGATTAGTTTATCATGGTCTTCTTCCTTATGAAATAAGATTTATAATTCTTCAAGCGTTTTCTCCTGGCTCATCTTTAATGTCTTTGCTCTTTTCCTTTTCACTAGTGGGTCTTTTAGGGAGTGATAAAGTAAACTTCTTATTTTTATCTAAATTCTAAAAAGGGTATTTATATCATTTATAAGGGACGATTTTTTCTTTATTACGTGATACTTCTTTATTAGACTGATGTCAAACTTCGTTTGTTAAAGCAAGTTATACTTGTTTAAATTGTCCTTTTAGCTCACTTAATTTTTTTTTAATATGATATGTTGTTGTTAACAGCTTGTTCTCAATATTAATACAATGAGCATATATGCTGTCAACTTCTATTTTTAATTCACCAATTTGATCTACTATATAATTAAGGATTGGGCTAAAATTACTAGTATTTTCAGGAATGTGATAATAGTGTTTAAAATCATGCTTTTTACATTTAGTAGATGGCCTAGTATTCTCTACTTTTACTTATTATTATTAATTTAATTAGCAACTTGGCTTAATCTTAACCGTATGGCTCTAATACCAAATTAACGTAGCTACCAAAAAAATAAGATTATTAAAAGAGATTATATACATTAATAAAGCATAGAGTAAAATTGCTTACAAAAAATCAGCTTATTTGAGGTCTACCACTGAATACTAATTTGATACCATTGAGCAATAATTTTCTACCACTGAGACTTAAAATAATACCACTGAAAAGTTGACACTTTCAAAAACTAATTTGATTTTCTCTAACACTTTTGGTGAATTCTGCTATCTACCACTAAGGAATAATTTTGTACTACTACTAAATACCACTGCTATGTCTTAAAAATATACTATTGTGACTAGAGGTGTCAAAAGCATACCCAACATGATTCGATCCGAAACCAACCCAAAAAATATCCGATTTAGATATGAACACGCGTGAATATAATAATTTAGCATGACTCAACTTTAAAAATTGACTCGATCCAATTCGACCTCATCAGACCAGATTTGATCATCCGAATTGACACCTCTAATTGTGACTTATAGTGGTACCAAAGCTTTTTACAAAAATTATCCTAATATAGTGAAATTCCTAAATAATCCCATGAGGCACGAGATTTGCAGCTCACTGTTAGCCGTTAGTACTTCCTCCCTTTGGAATCCCTCGAAAACTAGTCTGATCCCTAAATGGCTAAATATAATTTCCATTGGATACTTTCGACAGCCAATATAAACCGTTGGTGTTGTGACTATCCGACGGTAAGATAAAAAGAACTAAGGCACCATCTTTTCATCATTATTGCTTAGTACTTACACGACAGTGCACCAACTTTTTAATTTTTTTTAAATTTTTTTAACAATACAGTAGATAAAAACAGATATTATAGTTCCTTCATTTCTTTGTAGTTGCTATACTTTCCTATTTTGGAAATTGTTAATTAGTTCCATCACTTTTTATTTTTTAGCATTTCTTTCTCTCTATCTCTCTTCTATCCACATGGGTTCCTCTTATTTCTCTATCTCTCTCCTCTTAATAAATTGTACCGTGAAAATAAAAGTATATCAACTTAGAAAATGGAGGAAGTAGGTCCTTTCTAGCTTCAGTTGCTTTCTTGTAACACATTCCTGCTAGTTTTTTTAATGACAAAATGAGCTAGCTTCATAATTACAAGCTTGATTTCCTTATTAATGAGTTTTATTCCCTTCTTAGCCTTATTCACATCATGAATGGTTTTTATTAAACCAGTCGAATCTGTGAGGATAGAGGCCCAAGAGTAGATTTGATTACGTTCTAACATGGAGTTTTGTATTTTAAAAAAACATCAATTTGTTTTGTTTTTTGTTCTGAGTGGTACAATTTTTAAAATGGTTATCCAAGTGCTACACTTTTCTGATCTGTTAGTTATTTTTTTACTTTCAAAATATTTACTCTTAAAGAAACAATTAATCAACTATCAATCTCTACAATTCTCCGTCCATTACAATTTTGAAATAGCGCTGCCAATATAAAAATGTCGCCTTGCAACCATTTAATCAGAACTATATATGTGTAGCATTTAACCTGCATTGCCTAATTAGTATAAAAATATTTTTAGTTTAATTTGTAGCTATTGAAAAGTCATCTTAATTCTCCAACGAACCTCATTATTAATCTAAACTGGTTCATTAAACTTCATATCCACTCTAATGTAACACTAAAACAGATAGAGTACTTGCAAAGAAACTTACAAGCATCGAAATAAGCTAAACTGGTTCATTAAACTTTGTATCCACTCTAATGTAAAACTTACACAAATAGAGTACTTGTAAAGAAACTTAAAAGCATTGAAATAAGAAACTTTAAAGCATGTATGTTTAGGAGATAAAAAGAGAGGGGTAGGAATTATGGGAAAGAATCATTAGAATTCCTATACCACGTATTTGGTTTTAGAGAGGGATTAGAGACGAATAGTAAAATCTAATATCATATTACTAATAAATAAAGTCAGTTTCGCAGCCAAGTCACGAGACAGCGACACTAGGCATCTTAGTTTTTCGCCAAGTATCGCGCCACTTAGACGCCAAATAGGTATTATTGTGACACGTATTATACTAAGTAAGTGATTTTTGGATAGATTTTTAAAAATAAAATTGTTGTATAGAGCTTTATTATCGAGATACTTTTAATATATATCGATATACATTTTAATAAATATTTATTATCGATATACTTATTAGATGGATTACTCGATCAATTTTACAGGTTAATTTATCAGTATTATAAAAACTACCTTGTCGATATTATAGGAGTTCTCAGTTAATATTATAGCAATTATTTTATTAATTTACAAGCGGCCACACCACCGCACAAAACTTGTCTCCGATCCACCTAATAATTCCCTATTCTCTATTTCTCTTATCCTATTTTTTCGTATCCGTTATACCAAACACCCTGTAAATGACATATGCTCCAAATTGAAGAAAAGACCCAAAATGATCCTCAAAAAATTACCTGAAAGCGGCAAATATAATAGTCATCGCCATAGGCAGCACGAAGCCCATCAACTGGCTTGGTTTTAGGATTCCGGGGAGAGAAAGCCACGCTAAGGTTCACCAACGCCTTCACGCGATCGGGCCGAAAGAGGCATAACCACCAAGCAATCACTGCGCCCCAATCATGGCCAACCACAAAAACCTCCTCTACCCCCAACTCATCAATCAAAGCAACCAAGTCACCCACGATGTGACCGTAAGTGTAGCTATGGAAATCTGTAGGAGCATCTGTATCGCCGTAGCCCCTCAGATCGGGGGCTACGGCATGGTAACCAAGAGCCGAGAGGGCCAAGATTTGGTGCCTCCAAGAGTACCATAATTCAGGGAAGCCGTGAAGGAAGAGTACAATAGGTGCCCCCTTAACTCCTTTCTCGGCTACGTGCATGTTTATGCCATTCACGTGAACTTTCCGGTGTCTTATGCCGTCGGATGTTTCCATTTATGTCTCACCAAAGTTTAGTGTGGAAATGAAGTTGGTTGGTTGGTTTTATGGTTTTTGCTTTTTTTTTTTGTTGAGGTCTTATTATTTGTAGTACTTTGAGAAGTTTTACAAAAAACGTGATGAACAAGGACTAAGGAGTGGACCAAGTGTCATCATTTATATGAAAGGGGCAATGAATTCCATCCATAGCTTTCACAATTTGTTCTGTCATTGTAGTGTCGTTGTGTAACTTCTTTCTTTTAAAAGAGTACAAAAAACTTTAATTATTTTCTTTAGGACACATATGAATTGGAAAATTGACATAAAAGTGAATGGTGCATTTATGCTTTCCACAGTTTTTTTTTTTTTTTTTGGTTAAAAGGAGCGACTAGATTAATTCATAACAGAATAAAGTTAATTTAGGGTCTATTTTGATTTATCGAAAGCAACTAAACTGAACTGAACTGATTGGAGCTGGACTGAACTGAACTGAACTGAAATATTTGACTATGAATTAATGATATTTTGTTTATTTATTATTACTAGTTGTAAACCCGCGCGCGCGCGCGGTTTCTCAAGTTATCGATATTAGTTAGAAAATAATCTTGACATTATGTGTTGATGTGTTTGTGATTATATATGAGTCGTAAGTAATTAGCGTTTAAAAATAATTATGTTTAAATAGCATCGATCAAATTTGTTTTTACTCTGATTGTTGTATTGGTATTTATAAACTAATGTGTAAATAATGTGTACATTAGTATATATGAAGTAATTGGGATAGATTTGGTTTGTTTTGTTAAATATTTTGGAATATAATTTTAATTTTAAATGTTATCAACTTAGTACACGTGAAATGTTTCATAGAATCATAGTTGCTTGCTTGTACACGTGAAATTTTTTTGGTTAAACAACAACCTTTTGTGGATTATCTTTCCTAAATTATTTATATCTGGATCAGTTGGTAAAAAGAGATTTGAGATTGTACCAAAGAGCTTAAATTTCCTAAACATGTTGGAGTAAATGTAAACTCAAAATTCCTTTTGCTTTGTTTTATTTTTCGGTGCATTGAAAAGGTATATATAAATGGAAATTTGGAAATGGAAGGAAGGGGTTGAACTGTGGAAAGAAAGAACAAAATAAGTTAGTAATATGGGTAAAATGCTTCTATTAAATCTATTGCGTTTTATTTTCATATAAAAATAAATTTGCTCGTAACAACACTAACAACAATGTAAAGACATGTGTGGTTCTTGGTGTAGCCTATGAAGTTGCACCTTTTGCTGCACAAGTGTGGTCTGGAGAATTAAATTCACTATGGAGTATTTTTTTTTTTTTCTTATGAAGGTTGAAAATTGGAATTTTGCTGATGTTCTGTGATTGAAAGCATCAACATTATGATGCATGGTACAACTAATCAGTTTTATTATTGTGTGAATCAGATGAAATCTATGATGTTATATAATGCCTAATCTTATTTACTTTATTATTATAAGTTTTAATGGCCTAGGTTCACTAAACTCATTTAGGAATAAGATGACTTAGATGGGAGTAGGTAAAGAAGTTAGCTATGTTGGCCTAAAAAACATTAATTAATTATATAGTCCTGTTAAGTTTATGAGAAGCCCTCTAGCCTATTCAGTTTGTTTCAACTACAACTTGATCTATGTGAGTAAGCAACTTAGATAAAGTAATGTATAATGTCAAAGTAAATGATATATTGATTTCGTTAAATAAGGATCATCTGTGGGAAATGTATTCTGATTGTTGGGGACATTGCTGAGAATACTTGCAAATTAAGGTTTCAGGGTTCAAAGTATTAATAAACTCTTCCTTTGGTTATTGTGCAATTGTTTTATTTTATCTATAATATGATGAAAGCCATATTAATTGTCCCTGCTATTTCATTTATGCAAAGATCTTAATTTTCTAAGATGCCATAAAACTCAACAGAAGTGCTTTTCAAAATTACCATAAGACTCATAACCTACACATATACATATATATATGTATATGCTTTAGCTATACTAAATCTCATATATGGCATTCTTTTATCTACTGACTATTGTTTAATACAATGGATCCTGTTTTTTATTTTATTTAATCCCTTGAACAGCAAATGCTGTGTACATTTTCTATTAAATGAAAATTCAAAAATGCAGGGGATATTATATTGAAACATGTCAGCATACAGAACATAAAATTAATTTTGGATGGTCACAAGAATAGATAGATTGTTCACAGACAAATTTATCTAATAATTCTGATAAGCAAGTATAAAGGTAATATGCTTGAAATTCTTAAACATAGATATTGATATAAACTAATTATATAAAGTTCAATTAGTACAGCAAATTTCATCCCAAATTTGTTTAATTTTTCTTATATTTTTTTTGAAAGACATCAAAATATTTAGGTTAGATATACAAAAGCTAAGTAGTTAAGCAACATTATGAGTTGTGTTTTTTCATAGCCTTTAGAAAGGCTTACATCCAGCAAAAGAAGGCAGGAACAACATGATCAGTTATGTTTTTTCATAGACCTTAAAAAGGTCTACAACCAGCAAAAAAGGCAGGAACACTAATATTGCTCTTAACAACATTATGAGTTGTGTTTTTTCATAGCCTTTAGAAAGGCTTACATCCAGCAAAAGAAGGCAGGAATAACATGATGAGTTATGTTTTTCATAGATCCTAAAAAGGTCTACAGCCAGAAAAAAAGGAAGGAACACTAATGTTGCTCTTAATAGCTGCTAAATTTAGAGTGATGCATAAAAATGCAGCACATATAACAAAAGGGGATCTCACCCAAGCTTGCAAGAGTTGCACTTCATGTTTGATGGTGTTGAATTGGTGGTTTAGATTTCTTTCCTTCATGCTTTTGTGTCTGCACTTCTGTTGTAACACCAGCAGTTGCTATTGTGTTAGCTTCATTGTGCATTTGCTCCTGCTTTCTCTTCTTTGATGTTCTCAGTTGTTTATGCATACACCAATTGGGGAATGATGTTGTCTTAGAAATTTTGTCTTCAAGTGCATTGGTATTTGCAACTGTAACTGATTCCAGTGACCATTTTAGTGTATTGCTAGCAGTTAAGGCTGGTGTTGGTCCAACTTTGAAACAGAATACTTTTGAACTTATCTTCATTTGTTCAATGGTGAAAGACATTAAGTCTTGCTGTAATAATAATAGTATTTCTGTGAGTATTTGACACGAAGAAGAGTAGAATAGTTTTTGTGTTCTAAGTATTTTTCTGTTTATTTAGTTTATGTATGTACTAATTCTTACATTTTTTTTGATAGCATGTAGCTGACTTGCCTTCATTCCAAAGATTGTTTCTGTTTCATTGTTCAATGCTGTGAAGGTGATGCTGTCAGTAGAGTCTATAGCCTCAAAAGTAAATGCAATTCTGCATGAAATGTTTAAATATACAGTAAGTAATAAAGCAAGAGTAATTATAATTAGGAAAGTCATATTCATTTAGTTGTTGTAAAAAAGAATTTCATTTGCCTGGAAGAAGACTTTGTTTCTCTTGTGTAGCATTTTTTTCATGCAAATTGTTTTCCTTCTGGATGATTTTTGGGTTTTCCACAGTGTAAGCAGCCTAAGTATGTAATCAGTTGGGCCAATGTTACAGATTGTATAGCTGCTTGTATCCAATGCTTTTCATTTTGTAATGCATTTTGTGGCTGTAATGAATTGGCATAGTTAGTTTAGGTAAATGATTAAACAGAAGTTTGTTGTATCAAAGATGATGAAATACATTTATGTAATAGATAGAAGGATGTATAGTTTGATGAATAAACCTTCTTTTCATTCAAATATTGAATCGTGACAGTTTCTTGGTGTTGTTGAGGATAACGAATCTGTAAAATTCTATCCTGTCGATCTAGTAGCAATTGTGTGTAAAGTTCTGCCCTGTATTGTTGATATTATGTTAGAATAGGGTACAAAAAGTGAAATATAATTCAGTACTTATATTTAATAAAATTTCAATACCATTCACGCAAAACATTGGCTCTATCACCCTTTGGATTGTAGATGATTTTAGTGCACATTCCAGTAGTTAGAGAAAACCCTATAATATATAAGGTAAGCATAATAATTAGCTATTTACAATGTTATACTGTATTTTTATTGTTTTATATGAAAAACTAACCTTGTAAGCTGCTGGGTTTAACTGATGTGAATCCAACTACTATGAACTTTTCAGCCCACACATTCAAAGTGTCACATGCACTTCCAACAAGATGATTAAACAAATTAACAATTATATAGGTTGTGTATTGCTGTAAAAACAACATGAAGATTAATTTACTTTTAGCTAGGCTATTGCAATGTATAATCATGTTTATGTGAAAGATTATGAAAAAGCCATACGTTTGGTCTGTTATAATGACCTCTCTAACATAGTGTTGTTGACCATAGAATGAGTCAACCAGCCGAGCTTCTTCTTCTACAAATAACACTACACCTAACACATCTAGAAATAGGTAGCAAATTTTAGTGATTAGATTAGAATATTAGCTCAACATTAGTGTTTATAAGTGTTTAGTTAGATATACCATATGTTGAATCATCACAGATATCTTCTGCAAAGGTGGCTGCTGATTTCAGTTCTGCAATAAAGTGATGTTAAATCATATGTAGGATAAAGCTACATTAAAAGATAATTTACAATACCACATATTTCGTCAAGGAAATGAGCTGTAGCAATTGAAGAGATTTCAGCAAAATCAGGTTCAGCATGACCACTTATTGGACATATTGGATGGATCAAAGCCGGTGCTCCAAGAGTTAGTTCATATGGAGTTTTGGTTGCAGCAATCTGAAGAGGCTTTGGCATCTGTTTTACTGGAGCATTGCTTATTTCATAGTGCCCATTAATTGAAAATTTTGGTCCAATAGTTTGAATTTCATCTTCAATTAAATGTCCATATATGAAAGCTCCCTATTTACCAAAATCAGTAGTCTATGTGTTAGAAAAATGTTTGACTAATTACCAATGTTGAAATAGAGGATTTTACTACATTTTCCACAACTTTTTATAGAAACTAAACAATTTCAGATTAGATTATACTGAATTTCACTTATGGATTAGTATATAATTTTTACTATTAAATGACACAGTGAATATCTAATATATAATTAAATTACTGTAAATTTATCATAAATAAGCTATTTATATAATCAGTATGTTTAGCATTATATACTTACTCATA